AGAGCTGGGGGTCCCTCCTCAGGTACGTTTGTGCTTCTCATGAGATGCTGTGAAGTGGTAGAAAAAGAATTGAAAGAGTAGAAAAAGATCAAAAGTGATAAGAAAAAGAATGAGAGGAAAGAAATAGATAATAGGTGATATGCTTTGTGTCATTACATGCACAATCAGTTAAATATCAAAAAAACAAAATTTGGAGAAATTGGGAGAAATTCCTTTCCTTGTGTCATTATCACTTGACTTCGTCAACTCTACCTGATTGATTTTGCCTATCATGTAATCCCTTCTCCCCCACCCTACCAAAAAAAAAAAGGTACCAAAAGCGCCTTACCAGGGAATGCTGCAATTTGTTTGCTTTGCTGAAAGTGAATTTGTGTTCCACAAAGTTGGTACCCTGTCAATTAGCTGATGACTTTTTACTATGTTTCCCATCAAAATATACCTGGAAAATACATCAAAGAATACTAAGGCCAATAAGTGACAGTAGGATATATTACAGATTCAAATGGTAGAAGAATATTGCATTTTATGATGAAGAAACACCTGAGAATTTTGTCTTATTTTTCCTCGCATATAGATAGGCATGTCAAACAAGGCATCATGTGTATTGCTGGGAAATATAGATAGATATAATTGGTATATTGACAATGCAACCTAATATAAGTTTCCAACATTAAAATCTCTAAACACTTGAAACCTATGAAGGTATTAATCTGCAAACATTTATGCAGTGCACGCAAACATTGAGACAGAAAGGATAGAATAATAACTTGAAAACCTTAGAAAGACAAAGTAACTACGCATGAAATTTTTCATTTTCTTCTACCCTTGTGATTAGTCTGGCTTTAAAGTTCTTTAAAACTTTTTTGTAGGTTTCAAGTGCCACAGCTACCTTTGCAATGATGTTCTCCTCATCAATGTCTGTCATAGAATATTACCTTCTAAAACGTTTCCAGTTCCTTATGGTAAGTACATTTCTTGGAACAGACAATTTTTTCCTGAACTGATTTTTTTAATGCTCCAAGAGCTTTTTCTTTTATGAGTACATAGTTTTTCTTTTTATGAGTACATAGTCTTGTCAAATGACTTCTCATTTCACTTGCGTTTTTTGTGATATCTAATTGTTGTTGGATGTATTTGGCAGCTCTCTACCTTATTGTTGTGGCAACAATTGCTGCTTTTGTTGGGCAACATGCTGTGAGAAAACTGATCAATTTATTGGGAAGGGCATCTCTAATCATCTTCATTCTGGCCTTCACGATCTTTGTTAGTGCAATCTCCCTAGGTGAGCTTCAACTTTAATCATTGATTGGACGCCAAATTAATGGTTTTTTTAGGTTGACAACTTATAAACTTCTATGGCAACACAATTTTACAAGTCCTACTATTCTGATTTTGGGACAGTTTGATTCGTTCTTTCAGCCTGCCAATGGAATTATTGATTTCGTGTTAAAAATTCTTTCGTTTGACAGGTGGAGTTGGCATTTCAAATATGATTGGGAAGATTGAGCGGCATGAATACATGGGTTTTGAGAACCTCTGCAAGTATGAGGCTTGACATGTAGGCCCCCTCCAAAACCCATTTCAGATTCACTGGTGCTCTAGTCATTCTCCTCAGGTTGCAGGAATTAGCCTCAAGTTTGTTCCAATTCTTGATGGATGGGGTACATGATGACAATTGTTCTGGTTCAGTTGCTCTGGTGCTTCATAGTTTCCATTATTCATTGATAGCACATTTTTTGTAAGAGTTTTGTGTAAGGATTCTCTCCGTTGCTAATACAACTAAACAGGTCCTTTAATTTCATTTTCTTCTTGTCAATAAAGGGAAGGAAAAGGAACAGCTTTCAGTGCTTGGTTGTCTTTTGAAGTGTGTTCTACTTATTTCCTCTGACTTCCCTTTCTCCAATGTGATTATAGGGTGTTATGTATGGAACTTTGGTTTTTAATTTCTGGGAACACCTGTCATCCTGTATCTAATGAACTTATATCTCCTCAAATAAGCTTCCTTTTCATTTCCCTCGATCACAGGTCAACCACTGTGTTGGTGGCAATTCAATAATGTATATTACGTTCTATTTGAATCTATAGTGTATGATCTATCATTAAGAAAAAATGTACTGAAGAGAATCTGAATTCGTATTTCACTTGTGTATCTATAGTATTGTGTGGCTATTAATACGTCAAGTCTCATTGATCGCATCACTATTCCTTTCTTTTTTCCATTCCACACGGTGCATTGGCAAAGGAAACAAATCATTGGTGTCAAAGGTCTAAAAAGAGTAGAGAGAATTATGAGGCCACTAGTGAGGGGGGTCGACTGAGGTTGGAGTGGAGATAGGTTGGGGTTGGGAGGGAGGAGCCCGCAGGAGAGGAGAGTACAAAGAAGGTGGGCGTGCACTGTGCACAGAAGAAGTTGACTGATGGGGAGGAGCAGAGAGGTTATTTTCAAAGGAAAATGTTATTTTGAACAAATTTATTGAGCTTATTTATTAATCTAATACATTATAGTTATTAAATTGGTAACTCAACCAATTCAATAGTGTATTTGGCTAGGATATTTTGGGGGTGCAATTGTACTGCACTTGTCCGTTAGTGATTTAATACTATGTTCATACTAGAATACTATAGTGTCCATCATTTTTACACCAAATATTTAATATAATATATGGTGTTGGTGGTAAATTTTGCACTAACCTTCATGTAAGTTGGGTTAAACTTTGTATTCGAGTATTCAAGTCAACTCTTTGAAACTCTGGGAAATTTGCAAAGAAATTAAAGACCAAAGGGGAGAGCTTCGGGGTCGATCTTTCGATTCTTAAGGCAATGTTCTCGTAAAAAAGATGAAGAATGACAATTTAGACTAAAATTACGTACCTTTGATGTTTCTCTGAGCTTTTTTTATGATTTGAAAATTAGTTTTCTTGACGGAGTGAACTTTAGGCTCCCTCATCTATGGGGAATCGGACTCCTTGAGAGAAATATGGCACATTCTTTTGTTTGAAGAATATTTATCTCCCTCTCTCGCGGATAAGGATATTAAGACTCTTTTGGAAGGATGGTCTTAATCTCTTCCCCTCCAAATAAAGGTAGTTTGATTTGGTTAAGGTATATTTTTTAATTTTTGAATAATTGATAATACGAAAAATTACATTCAAACTTCGTAAGATTTGTCATTTAATTACTTAAATCCTTGATATTTAAAATATTACACACAAATCCTCAAAAGTTTATACATGTGTAACACTTAAACTCCTATAGTCAATATTCGTTAATATATTCATTGGTAAATTACATCCAGACTCCCTGAAATTTGTATGAATGTAATATTTAGATCCCTCAAATTTCAAATATTATACTTAGATAAAAAATACTCTAATCAAAGATAGAATATCAAATATTTTAAATTTTACAATCAAAATTTATGTTATATTATGTAATTTATTGAAATAAAATCAAAAATAAATATCTAATTTTTTCTTAAAAAAATCATAATTAGTATACAATTATACTATCTATTAAAATAATACTAAAAAACCAAATAAAAAGTCAAACTATAATGAACACAAATATCTTATATATTTAATTGGGGTAATTTTGTTGTTTAATAGATTTAATTAGTTTTATGACTAATAAAGGGACTAAGTATTATATACTTACAATCTTCAAGGGGTCTAAGTATTATATGCTAATAATCTTTAAGGGATCTAAGTATAATTTATATTATGCGTGTACAACCTCAGAGGGTTTGTGTGCAATATTCAAATATCAAGGAGTCTAATTAATTAAATGATAAATTTCAAGGAGTCTAAGTATAATTCTTCCTTATTAGTTATAAAATTTACAAATCTATTAAATGATCAAATTATCTCAATTAAAGATAAAAGATATTGTGTTCATTACAGTTTGACCATTTGTTTGATTTTTTAGTTTTATTCTAATAGATGATATAATTATATGCAAATGAATAGGGATGACAGTGGACCAAAGCAGAGGTGAGGGGTGTAGTTTTCATTCTCGTACTTGCTTTAAAAAACTATGTTCATCTCCCTCCACGTCAGGAGTAAATTTGTAATCCCCGCCCCGTCCCCGTCCACCTTGCCCGCCCCAGCCCAAGTCAAAGCCAAAGCCAACATAATCCAAAATTCTAAATAGATCTAACAACATTTTAAATAATCAAACATAATTATAGAATATCATAACATAATTAAAAATTTATTTACAACATAATATAATTAAAACCTTGTCTGCAACATAATCCAACATAATGTAATTAAAACATTGTCTTCCATGCAAATCCGACACAACATCATGCAATACAATATAATGTAACAAACATAATCCAACATAACATAAACAACAAAGGTCCAAATTACTATTTTGAATATTTGTAATGGAGAAATTTTTCTGCCACGTAGCTTCACACATGTAATTTAATAAAAAAAAATAAAACATACAAAACTATAATAATTGCATAAAAAATATTTTATATTTACTATTAAGGAAGAAGAAGAAACAAACACCATTGAACCAAGTTGCCTGTTCGTTGCCGGATAAGAGGAGGACCAACGGAAGATGAAGATCACTGAAGGCGAACACCATTGAAATCCAACCATTTGGTTCACTGAGCTGCGAATCTGCAATTGATTTAGGACAAAAATGCATATATGCATTATATATATAAGCGATTAATTCTTTTTCTCAAATATGGAACTTAATTGTTGAACAAGTGGAAAAAGGGAGAATGCAGTCTGAGATAGGTTACGATTAGCGAGAAAAATGATATAGGTTGCATTATGATAATGCTTGGGGAAGAGGAAGGAAAATTTGAGTTGCACTAGGGCTTTTTATTTGATAATCAGAAGAGCTGGGCTAGGTTGGGTGGCAATTAATTCTTGTATGTTGTACCCTAAATCTACCTGCTGTTGTGCAATTGTTTTGTTGCAGGATTTGAGGCAGCAACCAACAGGACGATGCAAAGAAAAATAACAGAGAGAGAGAGAGACTTACCTAGTTAGTCGACAGTCATAGATAGACTAAGACGATGGAGATAGACGGTGGAAACCTACAATCAACAATGGAGAGAGACTAAGAAAGATGATGGAAAGAGAGAGACAAAGCGTAGGAGCGAGACGTTCAATAGAGGCGGAGGCTGATAGAGGAGTAAGTAAGGGCTTTAACTTGGGAGTATATATATATATATAACGAGTATAGCAAGAGGTGGGGGTAAATGTCAATTTACCCCGCATTCATCTCCCTACAGGTTTATACTGATATTTTTGTATACGTTCATCATCCAATACGTATGGTCTATCTTCGATTCAAACGGGACAAGTTTGGATGAATACCCATTTTTTTCCGGTTCACCGTCATCCCTACAAATGAGTGTTGAATTGAGTTCTTTGATATTTTTATACTGATTACAATACGCATTTTATATCTTTGAGTCACTTACTAACTTAGGCATCGAAGAGTCTACCTCCAGAGCTCCACTCTGGTCTCCGACTTCTTTTTCAAGTGATCGAAGCCCAATATACTAACGTGTAGATCGTCCAAATTTTGACATCAACAATACTAATTATAATTTTTTTAAGAAAAAAATGAATTTTTATTTTTAATTTTATTTCAATAAATGGCATAATAGAACATAAATTTTGGTTGTAAAATTTAAAATATTTAATATTATATATTTAATTAGAATATTTTTTGTCCAAGTGTAATATTTTAAACTTGAGGGATTTAAATATAATTTACTAATAAATATTGACGATAGAGGTCTATGTGTTATTCGAGTGTAAACTTTATGAGGTCTATGTGTAATATTTTAAATATTAGGGGTCTAAGTGATTAAGTGACAAACTTTAGGGGTCTAACTTAATTTTAGCTTACTATTAAGGGCTTTAAGTGTAATATTTCAAATTTAAAGGGTCTAATTATTACACTTTTATAAATTTTAGAAGGTCTAAATATAATTTACTAACGAATAGGCCAACAAACAGTGATAACAGAGTCTAAGTGTTACACGTTTATAAACTTTAGAGGGTCTATGTATAATATTTTAAAAGTCAAGAATTTTAAGTGATTAAGTGACAAATCTTCGTCGGTCTAAGTATAATTTTTCCAAAATAGAAAGATTTGGTAGGCTTCTAAATTTTTTTTGGGTTAATTTCAAATTGTACTTTGAAAGATTTTTTGAGTCTCAGTTTTTATCCTCAAAGATAAAAAATCTCAATTTACACTTTCAAAGATATAAACTTATATCAATGCGCACCCGAAGTTAACAACCGTCAGTTTGTCATCCAAAACTAGTTGGATAAATTATACTTAGACCCCCTTAAGTATATCACTTAATTATTTAGACCCCTCATATTTAGAATATTACTCGTACACCTCCTGACGTTTGTGCACGTGTAACACATAATTCGTTATCGTTGATACCTGTTAATATAACCGTTAAAAAATATGATTTCATCATAATAAAAAAATTATAATTTTTATACTACCTTTTTATTTTGTGGACCCATTATACTCTAAAGTTAAAAATCAACCTTACAATTTGAATGTCCAATATAATACAGGTATTTATATAATATTTTTTATATCCAATGTAATACATCACTTGAACAAAAGTGATTAAGTGACAAATATGAGGGGGTCTAGATGTAATTTATCCATTTAGTTTTAAATGATAAGCTGACAGCTGTTTCAATGCGAATTGATATAAATTTATATTTTTAAAAGTATAAATTAAAAATTTTAATCTTTTGACGGTATAAATTAAAATTTAAACAATCTTTCAGAATTCAATTTGCTATTAAACATTTTTTTTTTTGAATTACCACAATAAATTGAAAGGTTAATCTCATTTTGTACCCTAAAAGATTGTTTAAATCTTAATTTGTACCTCCAAAGATCAAAAATCTCAATTTACACCCTCAAAGATAAAAATTTGTATCAATGTGCATCCCCAAAGATAAAAATTCTCAATTTGTACCCTCAAAGATAGAAATTTGTATCAATGTGCACATAAAATTAAATTAATAAATTATACATAGATCCCCTCACGTGTTATCACTTAATCATTTGAACTCCTTCACATTTAGAATATTCCCCTTACATCTCATGACGTTTGTGCATGTGTAACACATAATCACTTTTCGTTGATATCTGTTAATATAATCGTTAAAAAATATGATTTTATCCTAATAAAAAATTATAATTTCATATTACCTTTTTTTTTGTGGATTCGATATACTCTAAAGTTGAAAATCAAGCTTACCATTTGAATGTCTAATAAAATGTAGATATTTATATAAAAGGTAATATGAAAAACATTATATAAATATTTACATTTTATTAGACATTCAAATGGTAAACTAGATTTTGAACTTTAGAATATATTGAACCCATAAAATAAAGGGTAATATGAAATTATAATTTTTTATTAGGATAAAATTATATTTTTTAACGATTATATTAATAGATATCAATGAAAATAGGTTACGTGTTATACGTGCACAAATGTCATAAGATGTATGAGTAATATTCTAAATGTGAAGAGGTCTAAATGATTAAGTGACAAGTATGAGAGAATCTAGGTATAATTTATCAATTTAGTTTTAGGTGCACATTGATACAAATTTCAATCTTTGAGGGTGTAAATTGAAATTTTTTATCTTTAGGGTGCACATTGATATAAATTTTTATCTTTGAGGATGTAAATTAAGATTTTTGATCTTTAGGGGTGCATATTGATACAAAATTTTTATCTTTGAAAATATAAATTGAGATTTTTAACCTTTGAGAATATAAATTGAGATTCGAACAATCTTTCGAGATACAAAATGAGATTAACCCTAAATTGAAATCAGATGATGCATGAACCAAACACTCTTTAAGAGGACAGAGACTTAGAGAGTGGTTTTGTCAACGAAAAAGGAAAAAAAATTCATTACGTCAAATAAAGCGTTAAATAAAAAAAGCCTGATTGAAAGTTGAAACCCTAGAACGAATTTGGGTCTGTGTGCTTGTGTGTGTGTGTGTCTGTGTTGGGAGGGCCGAGGCTGAGAGAAAATGGTGTTCTACTTCAAAGCCCGTCCCGAAGCCGGTGACTACGTCATATTCATGGGACTAGACAAGTATGAGAACGAAGAGCTCATCAAATACGGCTTCCCCGAAGATATCTGGTACCATCAATCTCTCAATTTCGCTATACGAGCTCATATATGTATCTACGAATCTCCTTGATATTTTACTGTTTATTTTGTTTGCTATGGGGGATTAGTTACCGTTTCTTGAGTTGAATTTTATCGAATTGCTTGTTTTAAGTTTTGGTTTTACTGTCCCTTTTTATTTTATTTTATTATAGTTTTAACTGCTTCAATCTTGAAAATTTTGTTTTCATGGATGTTGATATGTTTGTGCGTGTGTTGATGTGGATAATGTTTGTTTTCAAATTAGCGAGCTTTGGATATAGCTCAGTATGCTTTGCGATTATTTCAATTGTGTAATTTTTCGGGTTTTGGATGATGTTATTGAGATTGGTTATGTGGGCTTCTCTGATTATCTTAGCCAATTATAGGCTACGAAATTTGAGATTTGGAAAATTCTCACATCAGATATATACGTTGTATGATGGGATGTCGATTGAGGTAATTGGGAAGAGTTATATGGGTGATTGCTGCTATCCAAGAAATGATATGTTTACGTAGGAATGACATGGCATGGATTATAAGACTTGCTATATCACCTGATGCCTGATGGAGTGGGAAAGTTCAATTCGACACATTTTGTGGTTGAAGTGATTATCAGGTAGAATTTTATCTCCAAGCAAATATATCAAAATGTGGAAACTTGTCAGGACAATAGCTAACACCATAGACCAAGACCGGGTCATTGTCACATAATTTAGTGGTTTCAATTAAATTGAAAATTAGTTCCAAAAATCAAAAGATTGAATACATGAATTTAAAATTCCTTACGGGTTGATTCTGTATATGTATATAATAAATTTTACTCCAGATATGTGATATATACATATGTATATTTATATGTAGATATATAAATGGAGTGTCTACTTTTTCAAAACATTCAATCTTTTGATGCTGGAAAATTTAAAAAAAAAAACACTTCGGAGCTGATGCAAGAAGGACAAATCAACTTTCACCTAAAAGACCCACTCAAGGGCTTAGAGTAAGATCAAGAACATTGAACCAAAAAGGCCCGAATTTCATTCAAGTTCTTTAAATGTTTCTTTCTTCCAGGTTAAGTTACCGACTTTACCTTGTAATCTCAGCTCAATGTTGCATATGTGTGAAAAACATGGATGAAAAGTGTGAAAAGCAGGGTTGATATATGCTTTTCACTTAAGATAAGATTCTTAAATTAGATAACCCTAATAACAAGAAAGGAGAAATTTTGTTATATAGGTATTTATTTACTAGACAAGATACCAAGCAAGAATGTGAAATGACACAAGGAAATGGATGTAGGATACTAGTATGCATTCTCTTTTTGTGGCTAATATGTTTTGGAGGGCAGAGCCAATTCAATTTTATTATTATAAGCTAGTGAGTATGGAGATCTTAATGACAATAGATCTCTTTCTAATCCCACCTATCTTGGGTTTTTGCCGTGAATTGCTGCTTTTGTATATAAAATATATGATTATCCCTTGAATGTATATTTATATCACACGGATTTGCTTGATAAGGTGCAGAAAATGTGTAGTTTTGATTTGTTTAAAAGTGAAGGGCAGATGTCCTGTTCTAATTAGCTCTTTAATTCGTATTACTTTCTTGACATAATGTATTTTTTTTTTTAAAATAATAGAATATATTCTACCGCAGGTTTCATGTGGATAAAATGTCTTCAGCCCATGTTTATGTGAGACTGCACAAGGGTCAGACTATGGATGACATATCTGAAGGCTTACTGGAAGATTGTGCTCAATTAGTCAAAGCAAATTCCATTCAAGGCAAATGCTACAAAAGACTTCCTGTTCTATTACACTTTATGTATCGACAGTAATTTCCTTCAAAAAGACTATCATATTATTTAAGAAATTAGGGAGTTTACCTCTCCTCAAGTAATGGAACACACAATTCAAATTCATTGATTTGGTTTTTTGTGGGGGGTAGGTTCAAATATCAAATGGATCTGACACCTTCAGCCACATGATTTTTAACCTCAATTAAATAAGTAAAATTCAAACTCCAACTGTTGGGTTAGCTATAGGCAGCAATTAAACTAAAATTTTGTAACCATGACAAAATGGGAATCCAACGAAATCCAGCAGTACAATTGCAAATATACAAAACATAGAGTATAAACTCAATTCCGTTTTATGTCGGGTGGAAGTTGATTGTGCCCCTTTGCTGAAGCTCTGCCAGTATAGCATGGTGCTCTTTTTTTGATGTTTTTCTCTAAATTTGCTAATGACATTGAATTAAAGAGCATGCTGCTGCTTAACACAAGTGGTAGAAAGCATTTCCTTCTTAGATAACATACATTTCACTCATTTTGGGGTTGTATCAGGTAATCATGTGGCTATTAGTGACTTAGCTGAAATTTTTATGTGGCAGGAAACAAGGTGAACAATATTGATGTTGTTTACACCCCTTGGCAAAATTTGAAGAAGACTGCTTCCATGGATGTTGGCCAAGTTAGTTTCCACAATTCAAAAATGGTGAGGTTCTGTATGAATTTATAATGTTTCTGCATCTAGTACTGTTCGACATTGAGCTTTGATTGGGCATGAATGTAATAGTTAGATTCTTGTCTAATGTTGATGCTCCATTCAGGTCCGTACTGTGAGAGTGGAGAAGCGAATAAATGAGATTGTTAATAGATTAAACCGGACAAAGGTGGAAAGAACACCTGATTTGAAAGGTAATTTTGTGAATATTTCCGTGTTCTATGCCTGAGCACTTCTTGCTTATGATTTATAGTTTGTACTTCGACTATATACACTTGGTGTAAGATGTCTACTTTAAACCCACTGGAATTCTTAATGAGGTTCTTTTTGAGAAAAAAATGAACCATTGGGGGAAATGCCACTCTTATGCCCATAATGCATGCGAGAACAAATCAGTTAAGTTTATGGCTGCTTCATCAACACCGTTCTCTAAATCCAAGTTTTATTCTTATAAAAAAGAGAGGGATATGAGTTTACTGGTCAATGGCTTACTTAATAATGATCAACTTCATATTTTGTATGCATGAAAAACATAATTGAAGTATTAGATTTAACAGTTGGATTGAAAAGTAAGAATCCTAGAAAAAGAGATATTTTAGTTGAAGTGGAGATTTAAATATCGATGAAAATTGAAAAGCAAGAGATTTTAGAAAGCAAACATTTTCAAAATTTAGGTGGAATTAATTATCCACAAAAAAGTAGATAAGTGTTAATCATTGAATCTAATAGGATGGATTTGAGGGAGAAGTTCAGCTGATGTATAATGTGATCGACAATTCCTCTTAAGCTAGAAGGTAGGTTCTACTAGACAACTATTAGACCGATAATGCTTTACGGCATAAAATGTTGGGCATTTCAATAATATGTTGAGAAACTAGTGTGGATAAAGTGCGGTTGTTTAAGATGGTTTTGTGGTAAAAGTATTACTGAAAGAATTAGAAATGGTAAGTTGGTGAAAGTGAAACAGTACAAGTAGCACCAAAAAAAGAAGTTAAGAAAAGATTGACTTGGGTTGTTTGGATATGATTATGGACGATCTAATACTGCACCAGTGAAGTAAAATTCTGCGATAACTATTGGCACTGATGGGAGAAGTAGAGACATAGTTATTAAATTTGGCTCGGCTTGGTCAGTCAACCAGGGAACCGGTGCCTAGACTGGGCTGGGTCATTACTTGGATCGTTTATGTAAATGTACCATTAAAGACCCGCCTGACCCAGCAGTTTTGTGCCAAACCGACGGGTCAAATTCATTCTCTTGATTAGTAACAAGCCCCATAAATTCCAGCTGTCTCCCACTAGTCTATCCACTTCTTGCCACAGACATCAATGAAGGTGCTTGTTTTCTGACACAAAAAGAGAGTATGCAGATTTTCTCTCTCTCTCGTTTGCCTTGCTCACTGGTAGGAGTGATATAGTAGGGAAAGAATCTTTGTCATCCAATAAATCAATATCTTCCTTTTATTTTCTTTAAGCCGCACCTCACTCCTCTAGTTTTATGTGATGCAATTATATAAAGCATGTTAGTTTTGTAATTTTCATAATTTTTCGCTTTATAATTATTTTTCAATTTTTATTATAGGGCAGGTTCAACTAGTAGACCCGTTGGTTGAACCTATGACCCTTTGACCCAATACCTACGTTGTGTTCATGTTTGGGCCGGGTTTAATAACTATGGGTAGAGGTAAAGCAAAATTAATTTTGAATGAGATATTGAGAAAGAATATTGATAGTTTATTGTTTAACAAATAATATGACCCTTGATGGGGCACAATAGGAGAACAAGATTTATGTAACCGACTCTAAATAGGTTGTAGGAGGCTTTGTTGATTTGAATTGACTTAAGTTGAATATAAAAAGTAATTATGCACAATGGAGAAACATGATTCATGTAGACGTCCAAATTGGGACTAAAGCTTTGTTTGAGTTGAATCGGGTATAAAAATAGATATTTTGATGGTTATAAGAATAGCAACTGTTACCCCAGGTGTAAGTATATCCTGGCCTCACAAACATTTGTTCTTTTCATGATGTACATTTTTGAGTTATGCAGTGTTACAACACTAAATTGCCTTTTTGTGCCTAATTAATCTGTTTGTGTGCAGCTGAGCGAGAGGCAGTTAATGCAGCTGAAAGAGCAGAGAGGAAACAACAACTGCGAGATAAAGTAAGTGTCATATTTCTTGGCTGATGTTAGTCAAATGTAATCTAAGAATGCATCATACGTACTGATGTTATGTATGGGATCTGCACATCACATAGATTCAATATATGCATATTTTGCTCGTATTATCATTCAAGATATGGTATCTTGGGAGGAAGGGATATACTTCATATATGTAGATAAGTTAAGTGAAAACTTCTGCTAGTGTCCTTGAGTTGACATGACAATTCTCTATCTTTGTGCTATACATCTCTTTCTGAATTTAGAGATTGTAGATATGTCTTGCTACTGCATCTAAGGACCTTTATTGTCACTCTGGCATTATTTAGCCATGTGGATTGAAATGACATGATGATGGAAGAAGACTTGCAAATTCCAATGTAGAGCAGATCTCTATGATTTTTACTAGTAAGAATTTTTCGAATTTAAAGAAGCTACAAACTGTAAAATTGAGTCCTATTATGAAGGCGAAGAGCATTGCAGGAAAATATTAGGTCTTCTACTGATGAACTACTATGGATGTATTCGCTTATTTTTAAATCTGAAAGTTTTAACCTTCGAGACCCATCCATATTAGATGAATATGATGGTAAATGTTGTCTCCAAACAGGGTAAATTTACTTCACAATCAAGTACTCTATTTTAGTAACAACCCGGAATTGATTTAAGCCCATGCCCCAGAGTATAAAATCTATGCCATGGAAGCCATAAAATCACTTAACAAAAACTATGTGCATACTCTATAAAATTGGAAGCAGTGACAAACAATGGTCTATTGGTCTACTTCTTGTTGCTACTGCTGATGTTGACGTCAAATCAAGTATCCTTGCAGCTTAAAGTAATGAAATTATAGAGCCTTCATGGTATATTCTTGGTTTTCATACTGATGGCTTTCTGCAGTTATCAGTGAGATTTTTTACTTTCCCCCTTGATAATTCATTCTACTAGTATTTACCCAGGACCTTTTTTGTTATGCTATGGAATTTTTTTTTTCCCTCCACTTGGCATTTGGCAGTATGGACTAACTACATAAGTGGAAGAAACAATGGAACATAATGGAAGAGAAAGAGAGTGCCAAATTTTGTAATAAATAAGTATGGTTATCCCATCTTGCTGGAGAGGTATTCCTCTGCCACAACCAAAGCAGAAGTGTAGAGTTCAGGTTCTTCTTGGGACATGGGTGCATGTGTGTTACCTCCAAAAGAGAGAAAAAACAATTAAGTGTAAACATCATGCATAACAGCCATTATCTTGTGGGTTATTTGCTCTTGGCCAAACATGTGAAAGTTGGAGGGGACCTGGTGTATAAAAAAATCTCCAAAAAATTTCATGAGTCCTCCAACCCGATAGAAGCAAGGATTTCAGCATGGCTACTTTTTTGATTGAGGAGTCTTGGATTTAATTAGTGGGATTGGGTTTAGGTAGTCTCTTGAGCTTTTGTTCTAACATGCCTATTATTTTGCAGAAACGAAGGGAGGAGATAGAGAGGCTTGAAAAGGAGAGACAAGCAGAGGTAAGAAGCTACAAAAACTTGATGGTAGCTGAGAACATGACATCGAATAAAGAGATAGCATCAACCAGCAAGTCATTACAAGAACTGGAGGAGGACTTCATGTGAACGCAATGGAGTCCAACTAGTTCCGGCACTTTGCTGCCTCAAACTGCTGAATTTGACAGACGTGCCAGTGGAAAAATGGAGGGGGAAAAAAAAAAACGAAAGGAAAGAGAAAAAAAAAAGGGGGGGGGGATGTGAGTGTGATTTTAGGCAAAAACAACTCCCTGTTGAAATAAAATCATCTGAGTGTTGAAATTCGTAATCATGGATGCTACTATGATATTATAAAAAAAGCGAATGGAATTTATAATCTAAGAGGGAAAAGAACTTTTGTGCACCAACAGATGTGTTATTGAGTAATGATAAAAAAGTTTAAATTTGAATTATTGGTTAATAGCAGTAAACTCAGCTAATGTTCTTGATTCTATGTATGAAATGAGCTCTGGATGGTGTTTTCTGGTTTGGAAAATTTGAAAATCTTGTCTGGAATGGTTGCCTTCTCCGGGCACGAACATTGAACACCGTGGGTCAGATAGCTGCACTGAACTGGTTATCGAGGAGAGATGGAATCTCTTGGAAGTTACCCGATCCACGAGATTAATGACGGAGATTTGCAGTATAGTGTATATAACATTTGCGAGCACGGCATTCGCAGTCAAAGTTAAGATTGATAAAAATTATTAAAATAAGGATAAATTGTACCAAAGGTCCTTGAGATTTATTATTTGTTGCACTTTCGTCCTTAAAGTTTTAATTTGGTCAATTTCATTTTCCATCTATATTTATATGAATAAATAAAATTCAATCTATATCATATTATTCTACTGTCCAATATATATTATAGTTAATTTTTTGGTTTACAACAATATCATATTATTACAATACAAACAATAGTATTCCAATTTAATTAATTTCTTTGACAAAAAATGTAATAAATTTATAATATAATTACATTAAAAAATCATATGAACAAAAGAAAAAATATTTAAGGAGTTAAAGATTAGGTGTGCAACTTAGGTTGGACAACATGATTTCAACCCGAAAAAATTAGGGTTTGGTCAAAAATTTTTAATACTTGGATTGGACTTGGGTCAAAAAATCACAACCCGAATTCAATTTGGGTTTGGCTCGGGTTAAGGCATCATGAACCCGAGTTCAACCCGAATCCAACAAATTAAACAAAAATTATATATGTATATATCGTTCTCTTTGTCTCTCTCGTTCTCTCAGTCTCTCTTGTTAAAAATTTGGTTGAAGTTATTGATTGTTAATTTAGGTGAATATTATGTAATATACGTATTAGGTTTAGAATAACAAGTTTATTTTGAGCTCTACTCGAATTGAATCCAAATTGAACCCATAAAATAACCCAAATTCAACCTGAGCCCGCCTGAATTAAATTCGGACAGTGTTCGGGTTGAGTTCCCCAACCTGAAATAGGATTAGAGTTAGGGTTATGTTTGAAAATTATATACCTAAAGTTGAGTTAGAGTTGATTGTCCAACCCGCCCGAATTGTACCCCAATCAAAAATACCTAAACAAATAACATATTAGATACTCGAAGAGGGAAAGAATAAATTAATAATTAGGTTTGACAATAATTAAAATAAAAATTAATTAAAATTATTTAATTTATTATTTGATTTAATTACACATATAATTTAAATTTTTATTAAAAAAATATTATTTAAATATTTTTATGTGCAATGCACGTCGTCGTGTATTGCTAGTCTTAACACATTGACTCAATTTGGTCTTTACCCATAACTGTCATCTAAATGATATACGAAAAATGCCATGTGCTTGTCACATGAGGAGATTAAGGGGCATTTTTGTCATTGTGCTTCCAAAAATAAGGGACACAAATGGAAAAACAATTTTTTAGACAAAAACCAAAAACCAAGTCTAAACAACCAACCACTTCCACTTCGCCTTCCCTTGAACGTTTGCCGACAGTTCATCGGTAGGACTTATTGGCTATCCCTCCAATTCAAATACACCCCATTCTCTCTCTCTCTCTCTCTCTCACACACACACACACACAAACATATACTCATGCAGATGTCCAACTTCCCCTGAATACTTGCCAGCGGTTCACAGGTAGGACTCAAAGACTATCCCTCTAACTAAATACACCACTCTCTCTTAATATATACACATACTCACACAGATGCACAGATGCAATTCAGGTTTGCTCAACAAGCCAAATCGAGCATCGCTTATCAGACGGAATCGACTTCGATCCCCTCCACTTCGACTTCGACATCGATCTTCTCCACTTCAACTTCGACTTCGATTTCAATTCAAGCACACACACACACACTCCCTCTCTGTGTTCAGTGCAAGACAAACAGAGGGTATAAACAATAACCCTAACTCTAACCCCAACCCCAATCAACAATCTCTCTCTCTCTCTCTCTCTCGCAGAGCACAGAAGCATCGCCCACTATAATTTTCCAAAATTTAGAGATCAAAGTCGAGATTGTGGGTTTAGAAAGAATTGGGGCTTGATTGCCCAAAGAGGCCTTGGAAAATCAAGTTCTAAATCCATGTGTGTGTATGTGACTGTGGGTTGTTGTGTTGTGGATGTGTATTTTGTGGTTTTTGTGTTGGGTTTGAGGGTGGAGACGCAATAACAAGAGAGCAGAGATTAGTGAGGGAGACATGTTGGGTTTGGGGTGGAGACACAGTAACAAGAGACGAAAGACGAGAGAAGGAGATGTGTTGGGTTTAGAGGTAGAGACGCAGCTAGAGAGGAGAGAGGAGAGAGGAGAGAGGGAGATACGTTGGGTTTGGTGATGGAGACGCAGTAACGAGGGACGAGAGAAGGGGATGTGTTGGGCTTTAGGGGTGGAGATGCAATAGAGAGAGATGTCTGTGTGTGAGGAAGATAGAACTCAGAAGGATTTATGCGTGTGTGAGGAGAGAGAAGAGAAAAAATGAAGGAAGAAAAAAGTGTGTTTGTGTCCGAGGATAATTGTATTTGGACGTATAAATAGTTGTAAAATACAAAAAATGTCCCATAATATCCTCATGTGCCAAGTATATGACATTTTTCATCTATTATTTGGACCGCAGTTAAAAACAAAGTAAGTTAATGTGTTAACATGAAAGATGAAATTAGAACTTTAAAAACAAAAGTGCAACAAGTGTTAAACTTTAGGAACTATTAGTATAATTTATTCTTAAAATAAGTATTTAAAATTTTAAATTTGAATTGAACTCGGGTTATATATAACTCAAGTTAAAATTTGATTGAAATTAATTTCAAATTTTAATTTACTTTTCAAGCACCGCAACTCGGCTCAAATTCAAATTGGGTTGCAATAAAATTCAATTTGAATTTGGGTCGAAGTTGCAAGTCGAATTACTTGAATTAGGGTTTTTGTGCCTAAATTTAACTAAATTTTTCGGATTGACCCACCCAAATAAAAGCCCGTCAGACGGTTTACCCGGGTTAGCTTCGTGTTTACTGCGCATGGGGCCTATTTTAGGCACTTGCTTCTCAATCGAACGTCCCCGGTCGTTCGTTGTCTGTCTCCGTCTTTCCCATTCCAAATATATGCCTTTAAAAGCCCTCCTCAAAACCCTAAACTGTACTCTGTTTAGTCCTATAAACCCTCTGTACTCGTCTTCTCTCTAACTTCGAGCTCTGAAAGGCAGCGCAACAATGGTGGCTCCGTCGTTGGACGAAGAAACAGCCAAGAAAGTCATTCGACAGGTCTTTTATCTGTGCTTTTGGTTCGGATTTGGTATTGCAACGATCGAAAAATTGAGCATGTTTTTATTTTTCGTAATTTTTATTTTTCGAATGCAGGTCGAGTTCTACTTCAGTGATAGCAATCTTCCTAGGGATAAGTTTCTCAGCAACACCCTTAGTGAGAGTCAAGATGGCAGTATCCTTCTCTTTCTATCTACCCTGAGCTCTCTCTCTCTCTCTCTCTCTCTCTCTCTCTCTATATATATATATATATATATATATTTGTTTTTTTTGTGTGTGTGTGTGTGTATTTCTCCATTTGTTTATTATCGTTTCTTGTCTCGGTTTCAATTGATGGGGTTTTTCTCCTCTCTCTTTTCTGTATGCATTCTTTTTATTTTTTTGTTTGGTTGCTGAGAATCCATAGCAAAAGCCTACATTCTCTATGCCCATAGTTTCTTTTTGTATTCAAAGTGTTAGTAAGTCCAAATTTCGGGAGATTTCTGTGTTTTGGAAAAAACTGAGGTATGTGAATTCACAAAAGGTATGTGAATTCCTTTTGTTGTTCTTGACGGAAACTACAGTGGTTAGTTTGGCTTTGATATGTTCATTCTCTCGGATGAGAAACCATCTTGTTTTGGGGGAAGTGAAGCCAGAAGATGTTGCAGAAGATAGAGTGAAAGCTGTGGCTGAAACGTTAAGGACATCTTCATTCCTGAAAGTTTCTGAAAATGGTGAGCTTTTGGAATTTTTGTTCATATGCATTGTTTGGTTGCCTGGGATATGACATAAAAAGTGTCATGTCTATCTGTACTTGTCTCTTTGATAGTTAAGTAATGAGTTTACACGGTTTTGTTGGTTTTGAACTCCAGGGAAGAAGGTTGGTAGGGCTACAGAACTTTTAAAGCCAGAGGAGATAATAGAGCAATTAGAGGTGAAAACAATAGCTGCTTCGCCACTGGAGTATGATGTGAAGCTTGAAGATGTAGAGTCTTTCTTTTGTCAGTTTGGGAAGGTATTGATTGCTCCACACTCTCTTATTGTGAGAACAAAATCATTGCTGAGGACACATTTTCCAGTTCCTATAAAACTCCTTAATCACTTGTTTTTTTTACTTGTGGAATCCTAATGTTGCCCTTTATGGGTGTATGGTGATCTGACTATGAGAAAGGTTCAGTTTGCATAGGATGTGTGTAGGATGTATCCTTTATATTTACCGAGGAGAGAGGATAGGAAATGCAGGACTGAAGTTTGTTAAAGTGATGTGAAGGATGATTTGTTCTTGTATACAAAGTTGTTAGTATCGTACGATACGCGATACGTATCGTACGATACGTTACGATACAGCCCTAAAACGATACGGATCGTAGTTATGTATCGTTTTTGCGTTGTATCGTCCGATACACGATACGTTTTTACGATACGATACGTATCGGTACGATACGCACGATACGTGCAATTTTTTTTTTTTTTTTTTTTTTTTTTAAAAACGACGTCGTTTTGTGCTCTGATTTTTTTTTTAAAAAAACGACAAGTGAAGACTTGTTGGCATCCGATCACAATGATGATGATGATGATGATGATGCATTTTCAATTGAAATTGAAGATTGAGTTCAAAATGGATGTTAGAAATTTGGATTAGAAGTCTCTTTGGTGTTTAAAGTTTGAATTAGTGAACTATGGTTGTGAACTTTGCATTATAATAGTAGTGGATTATGTTGATAACTTGAATAGTTGGTGGAGTATTAATGAAATGCTATATTTTTTATGAGTGTATGACTTTTTTTCAAAGGTATATATATTTTTTTATTATTTATTTAAAATTGCATCGTATCTTACGATACACGATACGATACACGATACGATACAATATTTGTATCTTACGATACGCCTTCCGATACACGATTTGATAACTATGCTTGTATATAATAGGCTTGGAGAATTTTAGGGAATGAAGAACTAAGATGTATTAAGTATGGAAACATCTGACACTATAAATGGAGCACTCTGTTTTCAGTTGTTTCACAAGTTGGGAGTTAGTGGTTATTTTTGACTGATGCAGTTGGAAGCCTCTGTTGAACTCTAATGGTCTAGCATAATTCTTTTGCTTATCACTTACATTTTCTATGAATAATGTGAACTATTACGTTTTAAGTGCGATCAATATTTTGTGTTGGTGATGGATTTTGTTGCACTCCATGCATTTTTGGATTGTTAATATGAGTTTAGCTTTGTCTGAATGCACTGAGCTATGTGTATATATTTTGTCGTGCTTATTTCAGGTTAATAGTGTGAGGCTGCCTCGTCATGTTGTAGACAAAAGGTTATTCTGTGGCACTGCTCTGGTTGAGTTCTCTACTGAGGAAGATGCTGAAAATATTTTGAAGCAGAGCTTGGATTATGCAGGTGTCCGATTAGAGGTGAAACCAAAGTAAGCTATGGCTATCACTTTGAGTTTCTATGGAATTGGTTATATCACTAAAACTTATGTGTCTAAGGAAAACTAGATCATGCATATAATCTTCCGTTCTTTTTAATCATTTTTAAAAGTTAATGGATAGGTCATAGATGGGAAGCTTATCAAAATAAGATTTGCATAATGCTGATAACAGTCTGACTATTGCTAGAGGCTGTTATGTTTCATGTATCTGCTTGGTTTTGACTCCAGGAGGAAAAGAAACTGGGTTTACAATGTAACTTTTCAGTAGGCTTAAATTGTGGCTAATACGTATGATGTGTGTAAATATTGGAACATGATTGATTTTTGTTTTTGTTTTGCAATCTTGCTGCCCTACAAGACCTGACGACTTCTTATCATTTTATTCAAAGCTGATATTTAGTTCTTATACTAATTCAAAGTTTATTTTGTTTTTTTATTTACCAAAATGATAATACAGTTGACAGTTTGGCAGGTTCATTGTTGTTGGCATCATATGCAGTGGTGTATTTGTTACTTAGCTTATTTCCAGGACTAGATTGGGTAATTACCCTTTTAGGTCGTATGGGACTATTAAGAAAAAGTAGTCTAATCCTTGGCCCTAGATTGACTGCTAATGTCTCTTTTTGATAATAATGTGTCACAGAAGGCATGTTGAAAGGTTCTTGGTCGTATGAGTGTGCATCAAGTGCATTGTATACGTGTATCTCATTTGTTTTTTAATCCTTCCCAGGAAGGAATTTGATGCAGAAAGAGCAAAGCAAACCAAAGAAGTTGAGAATTCTCAGTCCCTGGTAGCTTCGAATCGTAAAAACAATTCCAATGCAGAAGCAAAGTGAATTTCATATACCTTTGTAAGTTCCAGTGGTTTAGAATTTTTGAACTTCTGTATGTAACTGAATCGCTTTGATGATCACAGTTATCCCAAAGGCTTAATTGTTGCATTTAAGTTGAAGAGGATCTCAGCTGAAGGTTCTGCTGAACAAAATGATTGTGATGACGTAGATGGTTGCAAATCAGATGGAGAACCAGATTCCACCGCAAATGTTACCCAAGAAACTGAACAAAATGTATCAGAAGATGTTAAAGATGATGAAGAAAACCATGCTGAGAATACTGAGGACAGTGAGGCAAAAGGTGATGAGAAATGTAGTTTGGAGACTGAAGGGAAGGAAACCGAGGATCAAGAAAAATCTTTTGACAGTCCCATTCAAAAGGACGACCATGCAGCAGGTGAAGAAAAATCAGCCGCTGCATCATATAAGGACAACGAAGACATTGTTTTACGCGAGGATCTAAAGGTTGTCTTCCAAAAGTTTGGCACCGTTAAGGTACCATCAAGTTCTTTTCTCTCTCTTTGCTTCAGATTTCTTTTTTCAATGTTGATTTTTTATTCATTTTTGGAGCTTCTGATTTTGTTAGTATCTATATAAGTAGATTTCTTCGCCTTGTGTTAGTTCACAATATTAGATTTCTGTTTTCCTTCTCCTTCATCTTTGCACTCATGAGAGCCAAGCAAAAATACTTCATCACCTTTATAATCTATACTACTAATAAAAGTGGCTTAAATGAAAAACTTTTGATTTCTTTATTTATCCTTCAATAATTCTATAATGTCTACTTTATCCTTTTTAAAGTGACTTAAGAGAAAAACTTTTGATTTCCTTATTTATCCTTCAAAAAATTCTATTATGTCTATTTTATCCTTTTTTGAGGATTTTTTATTTTTTTTATTAATTGCATTAATTCAACTAATAAATTCATTATTTAAATTTTAATTATCTTCTTTCCAAACAATATAAATTTGATTCAAATCCGATTTGAAAAATGAGATCCGAATCCAATTCAATTGTCCAATGAATTTTAATTTTTACAACGCATATATGAATCTGATAGAGACGATTTTAACAATTAGCACATGGATTTCTCCTCAATTTTATAAATAATTACCAAATTACATCATATGTTTGTAAGTATGTAGTGCATATCCAAATTCAATGCAAAACAAATATTTGAGTAGATTTAATAATCTATATACTCCTTTTAAATATCAATGCTTGTCAAAAAAATTTAATTGATAATACTATCCTTAAAAAGATAACACAATAATACCCTATTGTAATAACTTCTTATCAGTCCAAGAAATCATTAGTCATCCAACTATTAATCACTTAATGAAGGTAAACATTACAGTTTTTAAATACAATACAATTCAGTTTTTTTTTTTGAACCTTATGCAATTCAGTTTATATAATTTAAAATACGAGAAAAATCTTGATTGTAATGGTTACCAAATTTCAGCAGTCACTTTGTATAATCGTCCACTAACAAGTGGACAACATAAAATTCAATAACTATTATGTAATATATAATATCTATATCAATAAAATTGGTCTAATTTATCAATTTTTTTTTAAAAGTCAAAATAGTTGGCGTGCAACATACACGTGGACCAACTAGTCAGCCAAAAAAAAGAACTTTCCATCTTTAGATATTATTGTTCCGATGACTCTTCTTTTCATATTTTCTTTCGGTCATCCAAGTTGTAAATGCTTTTTGGCATTCACTATTTTGCTTCCCCGCTTGTTTAGTTTTTCAGCCTTTCTTTGCCTTCTTCCCTCCTTTATCACCTTCAATATCTTTCAATACAGCTGCCTTGCCATCTAAATTTTCCATCACTTATTGGTCCTGTGATGCAGGGAGGATTAATCACAAATGAGATGATCAGATTGCTGGACTTGAGCACAAGTAACTTGTTGGGAGATAACTGTGGCATGTGTGACCTCTCCCTCAAAGAGGGAGAGGTCAGACCACATGTCATTGAGCCAACCCCTTGGCAAAATACATGTGTCAGGGTGCATGTGGGATTGGAGAAATACATGTGTCAGGGTGGGTAAGACTGGGGCTCTAAGACACCCGGACAGCTATTTGGCGAAAAAAGAAAAATAGATTGTAGGGAGATTTTTAGACTTGCACGCTGCTGTTCAAAACTTTTGGCTAACACAAACTGACTGGAGTATAAACACTTGTTAGCAGACATAAATGACAATACACGTATATATTCATTATTTTTCATAACAGTCTAACTAGAGTTTCAAAGTTTTGGAATAGGGTCAAGGCATATGGGCTAGGTATCTGTTGTATATGGCATGATAAGTACAACTCAAATAAATCACGTGGAAACTTAACTTGATTTATAGTAGTACTACTTTGTCAGGTAGACTATATGAGTTGTAATCTTACTATGGGATTGTGGTGAAGTCCAGTGTAAGAAGAGCTGTCATGTTCTGACATATTCCCCTAGTATTAGTTTTGTCTTTTTTCCTGTGAGGTTGGGGAGGGTATTGTGTTTTTGATCATACAATCTTTCATGCAGTAGTTCTGAGAATTGCATAGAATGATTCCTCCGATCTAGTTCGGAATCTTGCAATCAAGCATTCTTGATATATATTCTGATTTTCTTACTGATTTGTGTTTTGCTCTTTTGTAGTATATTGATTTCAAGTTTGGATCAGAGTCTGGATATATACGGTTTGAAGATGCAGGAGGACCTCAGAAAGCACGTGCTGCTGCTGTTCTTGCTGAGGAAGGTGGTCTGGTTGTGAAAAATTTCATTGCAACTTTAGATCCTGTCACTGGTAAGCAGCAAGCTGTTGCTTTATCATCTTCTTTGTTGAAAACCTTATTGGATGGATTAAGGCTTGATGAGTTGATGAAATCAAAAATATCTTCATCACTTACAAACTGTAGTTGCAAAATTTGCATTGAAGTATAGATTGTCACTAGTTTGGGATAGCTACCTTGCTGGAAAGTCCACTAAACTCTCCACCCTGCCCCCACCCCCCCCCCCCCCCCCTAAAAAGAACCCACAGAAAAACGAAAAGGAAAGGACAACAGGACGATAGGTCCCCTGAAAAGTGCATGACATTAGCATATGCTAAACAGTGATCGAACTTTGTTGATCCAGTTTTTTTATGGAGATATGAACACATACAATTGGGAGAATAAAAAAAAAAAAAAAAGGTCAACAGCATATTAATTGGGCATAATAAGATCCTTGCTTGTCATCTCCTTCACTCTTAATGTATTTCTGATTGAGAAAATGAAAGGAATATTTAGCAAGGTAAGGAAGACAAGATTTTCCTTTGGGAGTGGGTGGTGGTGGGAGGGAGTTAAGGGGGAGTTAGTGTATGGCAAAAGGGTTCTACTCTTACAGCAGGCCGGATTATAGGCCCCAATAACTGTGTATGGCACTGTTACACTTAATAAGATATTGTATCTAAGTTTTTGATGAATACATGTTTAGTTGGTTATGTTTCAATGCTCTCATCATGGTTTTTTAAGAATGGTGATTGCTGACGCCACGCTGGTGTCATGCATAACTAAGAGCCATGTAATTTTCTTGTTTTATTTGTTCTTTGGGCGACTTCTTTATAACATTAACATGTGAATGTCATGAACAACCCGTTTTAGTGATGTACATCTCTTATTGTGTCTGCTATGCAATCAGGTGAGGCTGAGAGAGAGTACTGGAGTCTGCTCCGTTGTAATCAGGAAAAACACTGGGACAACAAGGGAAACCGGGGGTGGTGGGTATCAGAAATTCTCTCTCTCATCTGTATCGACTTGATCAATCTTTGGTTTTGAATTTACCATTGAATTCTTTTCTTTTTTTTCTCTCTTTCCGCTGTTCCAAGCTCTTAAAAAGACATCTTATCCATGTTTGACAGGGGAGGAAAGCATAATAGAGGCAGGAAGCAATTTAATGGGAAGCACTCACGCCCTAGGGATAATGATCCTGTAAGTCGCCGCCCAAATAAAGTTCAGAAAGTTGGAGCAGCATAATCCATCATACAACCTCCTCTTTACTTAAATTGTCACCAATTTTGTGCAGTTACTGCGGTCTCCTTTATCTGGTTGTTGGGATAACTAAGAAATGATATGTGTTTCCTTTTATTACCATAATATAGTATTTTTTATTTTATTTTATTTTATCTGAGTTTCTTATCATTTCTACTGTATTGCGGAACCTAAGGTTCGGTCCAAGCCTACCACTGCTCTTCACTTTTGAGTAGTGCACCATGTTTCTGTCGTGGTGGGTAGGAGTGTCAATTTTTGGCTGGACATATTGGTTTTATATGCTATCTGCATGTTTGTGATTTTGAAAATGACATAATTAATTTATACGGGAATAGATGGGTCATTCTAGTTTTGACACGGTAAAACCTGGTTAGTAATTGTTATTAGAAAATGTCTGATTTATTATTATTATTATTATTATTTGATCTAATTTTGTATAAATAGTTGGAGAATTGAATTACGTTTTATTTAGATTTTGAATCAAGGGGTTTATGTTTTGTGGATTTGATTGAGAGAAAATGGGGTTACGATATCAAACTCTACCATCGTCTTAAAAGTTAAAACAACTAGTCCAAGACTTGGGATTTCAATTGGCTCCGAAGTTTTAAATTTTGAGGATTGGCATTTTATAAATAATTTTTTTAGGGTTAAAGAATTGATTTTTTGGTAGTTTTAGTTTTACTGTTAATTTTTTTTTCTTAAAAATTGAAATTTAAGGTCTTTTAATTTCACGGGCACAATTAATAGTTCTAATTTATTTAAGTTGAAATCTTTTGACTGAGTTTAAATTAAATTTTTTTGTGGGCCTATTTTTAATGAATTTCATTTCCTTTATTTGGGCTATTATTACACACTTAAAATTAGGAAAAATTGTGAAATAGGTATATTACACACTAGTTTTTGTGAGAAAGTACTTTAATATAAATTTTCTATGTATAAGTCTTTTTTGTATAGATGTTTTGTAAACAGAAACACTTTAGGTTTTTTTAAAATATTTCATATACTTTATTTCATTTATGTAAAAATCTTTTTCCTTTATTTGTGGAAAATAATTTAGGCGGTTAATTGTGAGATTCAATTATCTATTTTATTGGGACAATTTTTTTTTTATTCTATTTTAATGGCTAAGTAGTTCCCTAAATTAAAGGATAATTAACCGTTTAAATTTTGAAATAATTCTATTAATTTTAAAAAGATTTTCTATTCTCTTTCTATATATTTGACTCTCACCGTTAATATCTCTCTCCTTATTTTATCTTTCTCTCTCAAACTCGTTCTCTCTCCCATCGTTACTTTTCTCTCCCTATTCTCTCTCCCCTCTATTTTCTCTCTCTGTTGATGTAGTATTACATTTAAGTCACATTATGTGATACTCACCATGTGCAAAATACTGCATATGATGTTTATTTTGTAATGTGACATTAGAGTCACATTTTTTATGCCCCACACCATAAAAAAATAATGTATATGATGTGTAATTACATTGTGACATTAGATTCACACTGTAATATTGGATTCACATTGTGATACTCATATATGTTTTTGAATTTTTATGTGATGTGTGTACGAAGTATTACATTGGAGTCACAGTGTGATATCATCCGTGTGCAAACCTCGTATATGGTGTTTATATATAGTGTGACATTAATGCCAAATTTGTGATGCCAGCAATGTTCCAATCCCTAGGTCACATTATCGTACTTTCTATGTGTCATGTGCCAAAATTTGCATATGTTGTGCGAATACAATGGACATTAATGTCACATTATAATGTCTACAGTGGCCCAACTTTGCATAAGTATTTTACAAGCAGTATGACATTGGCGTTACAGTATATGTCACAATTTTGTTGTCATATATATAATTGTGATCAAAATAAAGTTAACGCAAAATCAAAATTCTTTAATTTTAAATACTTTCTAATATAAGGACTATTTCTCTCTCTCTCTCTCTCTCTCTCTCTCTCTCTCTCTATTATATATATATTAATAATTGTTCGTACCTGAAGATATTGCGTTACTCGTAAAAAATTGTAAATATTTTTTCATAATAAGGACAATGTATAATATAATTTTTAACATATTGTTTTATATATATATATATATTTGAAAAAGTGAGATTTTTTTGAATGAATAAACGAATTACAAGAAGCAAACAAGAATCAAAATTCTCAAAATTACAACCAAGGTTTTAATCCTTCAAAAAGCCCTCCTATGACCAACATTACCATCAGAAAACCACCTCTTCTTTCAAAAACCAAAACCTGTTTCCTCCTCAAATAAGGTAGCTTTGACATAAAACTATTTTAACATATTAATTCACGCTACAACCATTACAACATAATAATTCAAAAATATGAGAAAATATAATTATTATTGATCAACATCAATAATTTTAATATTTTTAATAAACTTTATCTCAGATTTAAAAAAAATATAACTATTTATTTTTCTGCAGGTTTCTACCTAAAGTTCATAACGTTATCTCAGCACCATTTTTTCAAAGTGAGTTCGTGTAACTTTTGTGAGAAAAACATCTAAAAGTTTTACGTGAATTCTCATAGATGTAAAAAAAATTTGTTGAAAAATAAAAATTAGTTTCCATTTAAACTCAACTTAAATATTCGTAAAATTCAATCGAATTTAAATTTGGGTGAGGTTATTCTCACCCCATTTAATTTCTCATTATCAAATTACTAAGTATGTCCTTTCTATACTCACCCTATCAGTAACTAAGTTCACCCCATACAACATACGCCCCATTTGATAAGTAAACTCACCTTATATTTTGTCATAATTAAGGTTTCATTCTCTATTTTATCTCGTGTACTCACAAAAATACTTTTTCAATATGAATTTTTTTCAATGAGATACATGTTAGTATTACTTCTCCATTAATTATATGTTTGATTTCCCGTTTGTTATATGAATTTTCATTATTTTTAGTATATTTTGATATATTTGTCAAGTTTAATAATTTTTTATTTGGAATTTATATGTGTGTGTGTGTATATATGCTTTTAGATTATTATTTTTTTAATCTTGTTTAGGTTTTACATCTATGCTTGCTATTTTTTTTTCTTGTTCGATTTTGTGTTTAAGCTTAATACTTTTTTTTTTCATGTCTGATTTTGCATTTTATGGTTTTGCGTTTTGTAATTTTGCTTTGTTCATTTAATCTTTGCTTCTTTTTTTTCTTTCTTGTTTCGATTTGCTTATTTCTTTTTTTTTTTCTTGTTTAGTTCTTTTTTTTTTTTAAAGGAGGTATATGTAACATGGGGTGAACTTAGTTAATAATAGGGGTGGGAATAAAAAGGGTGGATTTAGTATTTTGATGATGAGAAATTAAATGGAGTAGAAATGGAGATTTGGGGATAGGCATAATCCCACCCTTTAAGTTTAAGTAAAAATTTATACTTATACTTAATAGTAAAATTCAGCTCAATTTGAGTCTTAATCATAATTATGTCAAATTGAAAATTGAATTTAAGTTCGACTGAATTAACATTTATATATTAAACCTACAAACTAATTCTTATCTATTCTTGTTCATTGTGATACCATAACTTCTTCTTCTACTTTCTTAATTTAGTTATTGTTTATTACTTTTACAATCAATTTTAATTTGACTTCAACTTGAAAACTTGTAAAATTCAAGCAAAGTTAAGTAAGAATATATACTGGACAATTAAATTCAGCTTAATTCAAATTCTAATCATAATGACGTCAAATCGATAATCGAGTAAAATAAAAGAATTCTTTTAATTTTTGAGTGGGAAAACAATATGGAGGAGAAATTTCGATTGTTTGTTCAATAATCTTAAAATAATCAGATCCGTGAAAAGTTCAAGACAAATAATGCTAGCCCCCTTAATATCTATATAATAAGATAGATAGGTTTTTGAATTTATGAGGATATATTTTTCTCCCAAAATTTCACACTCCCCTCCTCCCCCCCCCCCCCCCCCCCAATTTCAAAAACCATACACACTCTTATTATATACACACTCCAGCTGTACACAGATTCTAATACACTCACAGTGTCATAGCTTAATATACAGTGATTTCAGTCACGGGGTATCACTAGTATAAATATATCACAAATTACATATATATTATTCGTCTATTATACCATTCGAATATTATTGTATTTTTATTTTAATACAAAATATAACATATATTATAGTCATTTAATTTATTTTGACGCAAAGAATCTGTATTCAAAGTCCATTTGTTTATTTAAAAATTTTAAAGTAATACTAAATAGCGATAGTTATTATTTTCTATGAAGTTATGACTTCTGCTGTGGATGTTAGTAAAACTGCATGTATTAAGTTTTATGTAAGAAACAAATATGTTAACTGTCTAATTATCAAGGTAATAGATTTTATTACTCCATCAATGATAGTACATATCCTTTATCTGTTTCAGCACCACTAAAAAAAAAATTTTGAAAAATTTGTTTCTAGCTACAACGTGCATCATATTTTGTCTATTTTTATATAGTAATACTCTTTTTGTATTTTGTTATTATGACAGTATTATGTCACAGTGTAATAACACAATTAACATTTTTTAATGTGCAATTATACTTCCTAATTTCTACACAAACTAAATGCTATGCTTGGCATAGCGTGACAACCCTAGTGTGACATCACATAGTGTAACACAAGACGTTGAAGTAGAAAAAGAACACCGAACGTTGAAATAAAAGAAGAAAATATATGTTTAAAATTCCAATATCTTGATCTATTAAAATATGAAACTGTTGATATAAAAAAAAATAAATCCCACAAAAAATGAGACTATCAAACTAAACAGTCTATGAATTAGGAAAATGGTATTTCTATTAAAATAGGAAACTGTTGATATAATAAAATAAATCTCATAGAAAAAAATTGTCAAACTAAACAGTGTATGAATTATGGAAAAGGGTATTTCAGTAGATAAAAAAATTTAAAAACTGTCATTGTGTATCTAGACGCAATATATTTTCAACTAACAATACTTATTTACAATACATTTTCCGCAAAATATTTTTTCACAAAGAAATAATTTATATGGTACCTCTCCA